ATCAACTTCAAGGACAGTGCGTACATTATCAGAGTTATGTTTGTTGTTTGCATTATGACTGCAGGTATTGTGGTCTATGCAAACATGACTCCTTGTAAAAAAAGGTGTCCGTGTTGTTGCCAGATAAAAGGGTAAAAAAACAATTATCAGGATTGGGATCTCGATTTAAAGCTTTCGTGACTGCAGGGATTCATCTTCTTGGTTCTTTCGGTAAAATCACGTAGAAGAGAAATAAAAGAATAAAAATAAAACATAATAAAAAAATATTTTATTATGTTTTATTATTTTATTATGTTTTATTTTTATTATTTTATTATTTCCCTTCTACGTGACTTTACCGAAAGAACCAAGAAGAATTGGGATCATTACCAATCACGCACGCCGGTGGATCTCCCTGGTCTCGATCCTGTCTGCACCTCTGCCAACTCGCGACATCTCCATCTCGCCTCGCTAAACCTCCTACCTCCTGCCCGTATCTCTGCCGTCATCTCGCGAGGTATCCATGCCTCGTGAGATGGGCGTGAGCCCGTCAACCTGTCAGCGCGTGAGTGCCTCAGACATTAGGAGTGACAAGTTCAATTGCAGCAAGAGCTCTTGACGTCCATTACGGGTGGCAGGCTGGTGGCAGCGTGCGAAGAGGCGCATTCCTCGGCAGTTACATTTTAATTGTTTAATGCGATGGTGGACACCTATGATTGCGTGTTTTCGATAAAATGTCACGCGTTACAAAGCACGCGGTTAAGTGTTTCCACCATTATCATTATCAGCCGTTTCTTTAAATTCCATAGCTATGTTTCACCGCCCTATATTTTACGCGGACCTAATGAAATTTGTTCCGACGATAACAAAAAACAACTCACAATGTTGGTCAATGCCGCTGTATGCATGACCTCGAAAATACGAGATGACGTTTCGGACAATGGCCCTCCCGCAGAGCACGTACAGAGGCCTCAGCAGCAGTTTACACCTGTCATAGACATTTTCATAGACAGAGAGTCTCATAGACAGGTAGAGCATCTATCTCTCATAGACAGACCTTGCCTGCAATTGAATATGTTTATTCCATTTACAACATTTACAATTGTTAAAATGTTGATATATTTACGCGATATAATCCCCCCCCCCACCCCAGTAGCTGCGGAGCGCGAGCCGTCAGTCTCGGCACTTGCGATATGTGATGGCTCCAGACACTTCATTTTCGCATCTCGCATGGAATGAATTCGCCCACCTGGTGGGCGGCTCGTGCGGTGCTCACCGCAGTGGCCTGGCCTCGGGGGTGCCACCGCCACCACCACCACAACCACCGCCGCCACCACCACCACCACAGCCACCACCACAGCCACCACCACCGCTACCACAACCACCGCCGCCACCACCACAGCCACCACCACAGCCACCACCACCGCCACCACAACCACTGCCGGCACCACCACCGCCACCACCACCGCCACCACCACCGCCACCACAACCACTGCCGCCACCACCACCTCCACCACCACCGCCACCACCACCACCACAGCCACCACCACAGCCACCACCACCGCCACCACAACCACCGCCGCCACCACCACCTCCACCACCACCGCCACCACCACCACCACAGCCACCACCACAGCCACCACCACTGCCACCACAACCACCGCCGCCACCACCACCTCCACCACCGCCGCCACCACCACCGCCACCACCACCGCCACCACACCCACTGCCGCCACCACAGCCACCACCACCGCCACCACAACCACTGCCGCCACAACCACTGACGCCACCACCACCTCCACCGCCACCACCACCGCCACCGCACCCACTGCCGCCACCACCGCCACCACAGCCACCACCACCGCCACCACAACCACCGCCGCCACCACCACCTCCACCACCGCCGCCACCACAACCACCACCGCCACCACAACCACCGCCACCACCACCACCGCCGCAACCGCCGCCGCCACCACCACTGCCGCCACCACAACCACCACCGCCACCACCACATCCACCACCGCCGCCACAACCACCACCGCCACCACAACCACCGCCACCACCACCGCCACCACTGCCGCCACCGCACGCTTTTCGCATTCCCACAGATATTCGTGACCGCGGCGCGGGCAACCCATTATTTTCACGTCTGACAAAAACACACACTCGTCAGTAATAATAATAATACCAACACACCACCGTCGCCGCCGTGAGTGCGTGCGAGCGTGCGTGGCCTTAAAAGGAGAAATATGCGCAACATGGAGTTACGTTCCCGGGGCACGATTGTCATCCTGGCAGCAGCAGCAGCGGCGGTTGCTTACGCGCTTCAGAGGCCGTCTGGAACGCTCTCTTCCTTATCGATGTTAAGAAGCCACTGGGAGCTACGGTGCACTTACATCGTCATCTAGAGTGACAAACTCGTTTCTTTACTTCTAGATTTGAAGCTTTCGTGACTGCAAGGATTCATATTCTTAGGTTTTTTCGGTAAAGTCACGTAGGTAAAAAAATGAAATTAATAAAAGTAAAATAAAATTAAAATAAAAATCACGTTTCGGAGGCAACAGAAGCTTCCGTCTTCAGGTGGAACCGTCACAGCACGATTTTTATTTTATTTTTATGTCATTAATTTAATTTTTTTACCTACGTGACTTTACCGAAAAAACCTAAGAATATCGTTTCTTTACAACAGCCGGGCGGTCGTACGCGCTGCCGATCTGTGTGCTCTGAAGCAGGCCGTGTGCCCGCAACGTCGCCTGTTGCACACATCGCTTTTTAACGGCGCACCACGATGTCAGCGGCGTTGCTTGCGTGCCCAACTGCTGCGGGCAGGCCAGGCAGGGACCTCGTTATTTTCATGCCGATGCTGCTACTGATGCTGCCGATGCTGCTGATGCTGCTGATGCTGCCGATGCTGATGCGAAAGCAAATCGCCGCGGCGACTGCTGCGTCACACATCTGCGTGAGGAGACGCTGCGGCGAGGGGTGGATATTAAACGGCGCCTTTCGTTATTGTAGCATGCAACCGGAGAGCCCTCTGGCTGCACGCGACCGGCGCGATAACCATTACAACACCCACGGGGGGCGGAGGGGGGGGCAGCGTGCCACGATTGAATATGACCGTACAATGCAGTCAGTGCAAATGTAAAAAAAAAAATTCGGAGCACAATGACAATTAAGTGCGCGTGGGTTATTTCTGCTCATTCACCGTGCGAACGTACACCCGTTCGCCATGTGAACGTTCGCTCGTTTGCCGTGCGAAAATTCGGCAATTCTCCCTCGGCTGGGCAAGCCTCTCCCGGCTGGGGCTCTGCCAGAAAATGAAACGACTCGCGGCGTAAAGTGAGAGACGGCTACAGGCCTTTTTAAATCCTTTATATTAAGTTCGCGTGCTTGCTTGCGTGCTTGCTTGCCTGCGTGCTTGCTTGCTTGCTTAGGACCGTGCAAATCTTTCGGTCGTTTTTTAACCCACTTCCCGTGATCCAATCGAGCTGACATTTTCCACACAGACTCGTTGTGCCAGACAATTCGTGAAAAAAAATCCCAAAATTTTACACTTTTTAGGCAAAAAAAAATTATTTAACATATATTCAAATAGAACGCATTCATGGCTTTGGCTGAACGTCAGAGTGTAAGAGCCCAGAGCGTAACCCCTCCACAGGCCGTGGCGGAGTAGCGCAGTTGGTAGCGCCCTCGCTTCCTATGCCAAAGGTCGCGGGATCGATCCCCGCGTCCTCCACAGGCGAATATATTTTTAAATCCTTTATATTAAGTTCGCTTGCTTGCTTAGGACCGTGCAAATCTTTCGCTCGTTTTTTAACCCACTTCCCGTAATCCAATCGAGCTGACATTTTCCACACAGACTCGTTGTGTGTGACAATTAATTTTCGTGAAAAAAATCCAAAATTTTACACTGTTTAGGGAAAACAAATTAAATATTTAATTACCAATTGCTTGATGGTGGCAGACAATCATCTGACCCATAGGTGGCAGCCATCTCAAGCCAGAGGACGAGAGGACTCTCGCCGCCACGCATATAAAGGATTTATAGTGAAAAACTTAGTTTTTACGGGTTTACTTGTTAATCCTTTATATTAAGTTCACTTGCTTGCTTGCTTGCGCGCTTACGACCGTGCAAATCTTTCGGTCGTTTTTTAACCCACTTCCCGTGATCCAATCGAGCTGACATTTTGCACACAGACTCGTTGTGCGTGACAATTTATTTTCGTGAAAACATTTTTCCAAAATTTTCCACTTTTTAGGAAAAAAAAATTTCATATTTAATTAAAAATACCAATGTGATAAAAATGAAACTCTTACTCAAGAAAAACTGAAATGAATAATAAAATAAAACCGATGTCACGCATATAAAGGATTTATAGTGAAAAACTTTGTTTTTACGGGTTAATTTTTAATCAGTCAAATCTTCCACGATACAGGTTTATTTTGGGTTAGATCCCGAAAATATACAATTACGTCGTTAAACCCGCCACCACCAGACACAGCCAATTAGTAAGGGGTTTGTCACGTAAACAGAACACGCCAATTAGTTACGAGTAGAGCACACCGGTTGTGCGTTGGAGAGCAAAGCCACAACATTTGCACAACGTAAAATCTTACTGGCACAGTCACAGGCCTCGTATGCCAACCTTTGACCTCCCCGCACGCAGCGCAGGGCGATCCATTGCAGGTGCGTCGTGGTAAAATCATCGGGAGGGAATTGACAAGGGCATTTGATCTTCTTGGTTCTTTCGGTAAAGTCACGTAGAATGGAAATAATAAAATAATAAAATTTAAACATAATCAAATAATTCTCACGACGTTTCGGCCACAACGCAAGCAGCCGTCGTCAGGTGGAGAACAGGTCTGTCGGGAAGATATTCAGACGCCGTCTTCTCGACAGACCTGTTCTCCACCTGAGGACGGCTGCTTGCGTTGTGGCCGAAACGTCGTGAGAATTATTTTATTATGTTTTATTTTTATTATTATATTATTTCCATTCTACGTGACTTTACCGAAAGAACCAAGAAGATGAATCCCTGCAGTCACGAAAGCTTTAAATCGAAAGGGCATTTTACTCGAGAGCATTCCCACACAAGCGTCTCGCCTACACATCTCGGCGCACTTGTCAAGGTTTGACACGCGGTGGGGACTTTCGCGGCCGCGGTGGCGCTTTCGTGTTGGGTTAGATCGCGTCGGGATAAATGTGTGGTCGATAAACCCGCCACCGCCACAGCCAATCGGTAGTGGTCTATCACGTGAACGAAACGTGTCTAATTAGTTACTACTCCAGCCCATGGGTTCACTCTCCAACACACCGGTGGGCCGAACTAGCAACTAATGGGAAACGTTTTGTTTATGTGACAACCATCACCGCGTCGGGTGGCGGCGGCAGCAGCGGCGGGTTTAACGTCGCACATTTACGCCTACGCAATCTAACCCCAAACGAAAAAAGCTCGGCCGTACACTCCCATCAAAGCCTTCTTCTCCTCGGCTGATCGGAGTCGCCGTTGAAAAGCAAAGGAGCGCTTTTTCCATCCGCTAAGTTGGGCTCTGCTCGGTGGGAAATGAACGCCACCTCCGATTCCGAGGGCCTTCACAAATCGACGGAGGTACCCGCAGACGGATCACGCTCACTGACCGCCGCAGCAGCCGCCCGCCCCGTAGCCCGTCGGCAGAGGTCATCGCACCGCAACCGCCACCCCCTTCACGCGCCCCTTGCCTTCGCCGACACGGCGCTGGTGAAGTATGGTCAAACAAGCCCCCCTGTGATCCCCCATTGGTGTGTGGAGGTGCTCACGCAAACAGTGGGTTGACAAAGAACTGCAGCTGCGCCATTTAAAATATAGGGTTTGTTGGGGTTAGATCGCATAAACGTGGCCAATTCGTTACGAGCACAGCACAGCGGTATTGGAGAGCAAACCGACATTTACAATCTGCTCTCCAGCACACACACTACCGTTGTGCTGTAGTAGAATTGGCACGTTCTGTTTACGTGACAAACCTTACTAATTGGCTGTGTCGGGTGGTGGCGGGTTTGACGACACATTTACACGATCTAACCCAAAGCCTCCTGAGTGTTCAGCTGTGGCATACCCAGCGCGTCCGTGCTTGTGTGTCTGTGTGTGCGTCTCTTTGGACTGACTGAGCCTCAGTCAACCCACGGCACCTGGATCTGCCCCGTGACCTCGTGCCGGCGGGCGTTCGACACTTCACGTGGCCTTAAAGTGCACGTGGCCTGGCACAAGCGCCGTGGTGGCGTCCACAGCCACTTGGTGGCGAACGGCGGTCGTTGTTGTTTGTCTCTCCAGAGCTCGCGGTCCATCGCAGCGCCGCGTGTTTAGGACGCACGCAAGGAACGGCGACGTCGCTTGACACGCAACGTCCGCTGAAGGATTCATGCCGCTGACGCCGCTGTTGAAGACTCGCGTAGAGGACGATCTCCTCTCACCCCACTTCGCCTGCCGAGCCACCTGACAAATTTTTTACTTCTCCGCTTATTTGCGAGCCGTGAGCCGAGGAAGGAAACACAAAAAAAAAACGCAATATAATTGTGGGTCCAATTTATTTTTTTGCCGTCACCCTCGCGCAAACCCGCCGTGCTTCAGAGACGTGCCTCTGCATCTCTGTCTCTCTCCCCGCGAGTCTCCACCCTTCCTCCGAGTGTCTCCGAGCGTAAAATCTTGAAAGCTTTTCCTGAAAGCTTTCGTGACTGCAGGAATTCATATTCTTTGGGTCTTTCGGTGAAGTCACGTAGGTAGGTATTTTCTTTGAACCCATCTACGCGACTTTACCGAAAGACCCAAAGAATATGTCTCCGAGTGTCTCCGAGCGTCTCCGCGCGTCACGCGAGTCTCCGCACGTCAGCGCAAGCCTCAGAGCGTCTCCACGTGTCACCACTTGTCACCGCACATCTCCGCGCGTTACCACATGTCTCCGCGCTTCACCACAAGTCTCCGCGCGTCACCGCAAGTCTCCGCGCGTCACGACATGTCTCCGCACGTCACCGCGTGTCACATGTCTCCGCGTGTCACGACATGTCTCCGCACGTCACCGCGCGTCTCCACGTGTCAACACTTGTCACTGCAAGTCTCCGAGCGTCTCCAAGCATCACCGCACATCACCACACGTCACCACTTGTCACCGCAAGTCTCCGCGCGACTAGAAGCCGGTGCTGCCAAGCGCCACTTGGTTGAACGCGTTCCGTCGCACCGCACTGTCAACTCGCCCTTCTCTCCCGTCGTCGTTTTGGTCTCATCCGTCGGCGAAAAACCAATCGCGGCAGTTGCAACGCGTAAACCCACGAGCAACTCGGGAGCGATTTGCCACGCGAGCCTCGTCAAACGCTGAAGCCGCTCATTCGCGCGTCGACCCGTGGCAACAAGGCCGTGGACGGCGGTGGGAGATTTGGGCCGTGGGTGACGGGAGTTGTCCGGGACCCGACAGCTCCTGCGGATAATAATCGGGAGTCATGGGTTAAGGGCGGCGATTACACAAAAATCAAGGAGTTCACCTGTGCGCACGGCCGTCGGACGTGAACTTTACTGACGGGCTGACTTGGGGGCCCGCTGAGGCACTTTGACAACGGGGGGCCGTGCCGACGCGGCGCTGGGGACGAGTGGAGATGAGGGGGTCTGGGTCTGGGGGGGGGGGGTCGATCGACTACAAATTACAACCTAACTTCTTTGTAGTTTGAGCAATTAAGGCCCATTTAAAAACAGTGGCCACCATGACAACTCTGCCTCCCGAAGTTCGTACCCCCCCCACCGTACGAGCCACGCCCACCGATGACGTCACAAAGCCTCAGCCAATCAGGACAGCAACGGCAATGTTGCCCTCGGCTTGCCCCTCCCCCCCGCTGCCTCCGACGAGCACGGTGCGAAAGACGTTCAACATACATACATAGACTCACACAGTCACTCACTCACACACTACCAAAGTCACTCACCCACACAACTCACCCATCCTCCGATTAGCACGGTCGGCTACGTACGGTGCGAAAGAAGTCCGACGCACACACACGCGCACGTCACATACAACGCTCCCCCCCCCTCCACCAGCACTCGTCAGCCCTTCCACGTGACGACCGCGGACGCAGGAACCTGGGAGGCCCGATGGCGCCCTCGGCGCCGCGGCTGCGCTCAGCGGCGGCGGCGCCCCTCCGCGCCGGCGCGTTTGGGGGGCCGCAGCTCGAAGACGGCCGCCACGCCGCTCCGCACCGACTCCGTCGCCGCCTCCACGTGGTCCCGCAGCGACGACGACGCCACCGCCGCGTTTTGATCGGCAGCGGAGGAGGAGGCGAGGCCGTGCTCGCGGCGGGCAGAGCACACGACCGGAAGCGGCCAATCGCCGTCGTCGTCGGCGGCGGTGGAGGCGTCGGCGGCGGGGAGCTCGTGCACCGAGAGGGGGCGGCCCAGGAAGAGGCCCAGCAGGCGGCAGACCTCGTGGGCCTTGCGGCGAGCGCTCGCCACGGCCAGGAGGCACGCCTGCCGTCTGCGCGGGTCGGGAGGGGAGGGAGCGAGGGACGGTGCAGTCTGAGCGGTCGAGACGCGGCCAGGTACGGGTACCCATTCCCTACCCATACCCGTACCCTACCCGAAATGAGTGACAAACGGTGACTCACCAGTGACTCACGGCCTACCCGTACCCATACCCGGCCACACCAGGGTCACAAACGGGTACCCGTACCCGTACGGGTAGCCGGGTATCGGGTAGGGTACGGGTATCGGGTACCCGGTTGCGACCTCTGGCGACGCGGGCACAACTTATTGCAGTGCCTAGGAAGCGCTAGGCTACAACCGGGTGGAGTGGGGGGGGTGTAAGAGCCGTAAGACAGAAAGTGAATGCATGATTTCTGTGTGTACATTTGATGTACATCTGCCATACACTTGTTGACAGATTGGGCATACTTGACTTGGAATATTCCAACTGTTTAGAACCCCCCTGTGGTTAGACGCTCCGTTGGTTGAACCCACGACGTCACTTCCGGTCTGACAGTATAAACAGGAAGCCAGGAGAAGGGCCAGGCGGGAGCGAGTGGACACAGTCTTTGACCGCCGTGTGACCACGTGATCAAGTACGTGGACAGGCAGAGATATCTACTCTTTGGTTCTTTCGGTAAAGTCACGTAGATGAAAAAAAAAAACTAAATTAAATCACGACGTTTCGGAGGCAACACAAGCTTCCGTCATCAGGAAGCTAGCGTCGTGATTTAATTTAGTTATCTTCATTTTATTATTAGTTATTATTTTTTTTTTCTACCTACGTGACTTTACCGAAAGAACCAAAGAGTATGGATCCTTGCAGTCACGAAAACTTCAAATCTAGGTGAAGATACAACTTTGAAAAATCGCTCGTTTTTGTGCAACTAAGAAATAAAGAAACAGTTTGATTCAAGACACGTCAAACACGCGTCAAGACTTATTGCTCCCAAAGTTTAAGGCGTAACTTATTTTTTGGACCATGAAAGCTGCGCTTACAGGGGGGGAGGGGGTGGGGGAGTGTTGCCATCCGTGCGTTGTCACCTGTAGTTGTCGCGTGCCAAGGCCGTGAGGTGGTACACGGGGGGGGCCACGTCCACGCAGCTGTCCAGCTTCTCCACCAGCTGGTTCCTCACCGCGTGCATCGCTTGGAAATCACTGAACTCTGCCACAACCTGGAGGGCGGGGAGGGGGCGGGCATCGCACGTGCGCGCCCGTCAAACGCGTTCGCGCACAAAGACAAACATCCCCCCCCCCCCCCCCCCGTGGTGCCTTAACAGACTTGTGGGGTTAAATTTTGATTTAAAGCTTTCGTGACTGCAGGGATTCATATTATTGGTTCTTTCGGTAAAGTCGCGTAGAAGGGAGATGTGGATTTCACACCTGATGACGATTGCTTGTGTTGCAGTCGAAACGTCGTGAGAATTTTTATTGTTTAATATTTTTATTATTTTAGTATCTCCCTTCTACGTGACTTTAACCGAAAGAACCAAGAATATAGACTTGTGGGGGTCAAGCGCTGTCAAGCGAGTAGCAACCGCCTCTGAAGGCCGCCACGGCGCACGACATCGGGTGGGTGATATTCGCTCGGCCAACGAGAGCAACTGGAACAATTTCAACGACTTGTTATTTCACCAGGTGCTACGCAACTCTTTTTCAGAAGCGACCTCCTGGGCGATCACTATGTACGGTGCGAAAGAAGTTCAACAACCGCCATTCGCCACTAAGTGGCGGTGACGTCACCACGACGCTTGCATCAGGCGAGGTGCACTTTGAGGCCACGTGAAGTTCAACACGCACGTGTACATACACGCATAGTCACTCACCCACACACAGTCACTCACCCACTCACACAGTCACTCACCCACTCACACAGTCACTCACCCACACACACAGTCACTCACACAGTCACTCACCCACTCACACAGTCACTCACCCACTCACACAGTCACTCACCCACTCACACAGTCACTCACCCACTCACACAATCACTCACCCACTCACACAGTCACTCAGCCACTCACACAGTCACTCACACAGTCACTCACCTACTCACATAGTCACTCACACACTCACACAGCCACTCACCCACTCACAGTCACTCACCCACTCGCACAGTCACTCACCCACTCACACAGTCACTCACCCACTCACACAGTCACTCACCCACTCACACAGTCACTCACCCACTCACACAGTCACTCACCCACTCACACAGTCACTCACCCACTCACACAGTCACTCACACACTCACACAGTCACTCACTCACACAGTTACTCACCCACTCACACAGTTACTCACCCACTCACACAGTCACTCACCCACTCACACAGTCACTCACCCACTCACGTAGTCACTCACCCACTCACATAGTCACTCACCCACTCAGTCACTCACCCACTCACATAGTCACTCACCCACTCACATAGTCACTCACCCACTCACACAGTCACTCACCCACTCACATAGTCACTCACCCACACACTCACCCATCCTCCTATCAACATAGACACAGACGAATAACACTGCAGGGAAGGCATCCCCCACATATGCAATGATATTATGGGGGATGCACCGAATCGAAGAGCACTCACTTCTCCAGGAAAGCATCTCCAGCGCCAAGCGAAGTCTGCCTGTGCTCATTTGAGGCTGAGTCGGCATTGGGGAGGCCCAAGACCGCTTCAGATATTCGCCACTGTTATTGGCCGTGAGCTGCAATCAAACTCGGGCCGCCGTCTCCGTAGTGCAGTGCGCTAACCGCTGCGCCACCACTCCCCGCTAAACACATGCTACACACAACAACAACCGCTGTTCGCCACTAAGTGGTGGTGACGTCACCACGACGCTTGCACCAGGCTAGGTGCACTTTGAGGCCACGTGAAGTTGATAAGGTCCGCTGGCAGAAGGTCACGGAACAGACCCAAGTGCAATGGGTTGACCTGACTGCGATGACTGGCAGATGCACCACCTGTGCCCCCTACCGTGCCAACTTGCTGCGTTTAACCCGCCCGGCGCTCCGCTCGTCGTTGTGAGCATCGCTCCTCTGCCCTCTGCTGTTGTTGGAGGGTGACTGCCTCCAACTGCCCAGTAGCGTCCTTCACGAACCTCCTCCACGGAGATCGATCTTGACACCGCCGGTACTGGTCATCAGCAAATCCACTCAGCTCCATATCCTCCTGCTGTACGATATCTGCTCCATCTCTTCTCTGGCTCTTCCCGCGCCCGTTTAGCCCAACTATCAAGCCAAACAGAAGCTGCTTGAGCATGCGGGTGACGGGGCATGCGGGCTACATGACCCAGCCAACACAAAGACAGACGCACGCACATGACACAGGGACATGCGCTCGCACACGATCTCTGGCACACGATTTCTGACACGTGATCTCTGACACACGATCTCTGACACACGATCTGTGACACACCATCTGTGACACACCATCTCTGACACACCATCTCTGACACACGATTTGTGACACACCATCTGTCACACACCATCTCTGACACACCATCTGTGACACACCATCTTTGACACACCATCTGTGACACACCATCTGTGACACACAATCTCTGACACACGATTTCTGACACACCATCTCTGACACACGTGTGCACAGCAGCAGAGGCGGTACCTCCACTGTCATGACGTAGAGGCCGTCGAGGCGGTCAAGGCTCTTGAGCACAGTGACGTCATCGTCCTGCACAGAGACACAGTGAGATACACAGAGACACAGTGAGACACACAGAGACACGGTGAGACACAGAGACACGGTGAGACACAGAGACACGGTGAGACACAGAGACAGAGACACGGTGAGACACACAGAGACACGGTGAGACACACAGAGACACGGTGAGACACAGAGACAGAGACACAGTGAGACAGAGACACGGTGAGACACACACAGACAGAGACACACAGTGACACAGTGAGACACACAGAAACACGGTGAGACACAGAGACACAGTGAGACACACAGAGACACAGTGAGACACAGTGAGACACACAGACACAGTGAGACACACAGACAGAGACACACAGTGACACAGTGAGACACACAGAGACACGGTGAGTCAGAGACACAGTGAGACACAGAGACAGAGACACAGTGAGACACAGAGACAGAGACACAGTGAGACAGAGACACGGTGAGACACACAGACAGAGACACACACAGAGACACAGAGAGACACAGAGACACACAGAGACACGGTGAGACACACACACACACACAGAGACACACACACAGACACGGTGAGACACACACAGACAGAGACACACAGAGACACAGTGAGACACACAGAGACACACACACAGACACACAGAGACATGGTGAGACACACAGAGACACACAGAGACACAGTGACACACACAGAGACAAGGTGAGACACACAGAGACACACACAGACAGAGACAGACAGACACACACACACAGACACACACAGATACACACACACAGAGTCACTCACCTGGACTCCGCGGGCTCGCCTCACGCTGCTCTCCACGTACTCGGCCCTCCTGACCGCGCTCCGCTCGGCGCTGCGGGCTTCCCTCTTGGCGGCGCTCCTCACCCTCACGCTCAGCCTCGCGCGGTCCGGGGCCCCGCGCAGCTCGGCGCGGCCCACGACGCGCACCTCGCGGCCGCGAGACGGCGGCGACGCGGGGCAGGAGGAGGAGGAGGAGAAGGGAGGGAAGGAGGAGACCACGGGGTTACTGCCACGGCTCATGGGCGCCGCCATTAGCGTCGCGAACACGCGCGCCGCCATCGCCGTCGCCCTTGGTAACGGGCGCACGTCGTGACGTCAACGCGTACGGTACGCGAGGGGGGGAGGGGCGATCGCTGGTGGCGTGACGTCACCGCGCACACGCCGTGACGTCAACGCGTACGGTACGCGGGGGGGGAGGGGCGATCGCTGGTGGCGTGACGTCACCGCGCACACGCCGTGACGTCAACGCGTACGGTACGCGGGGGGGGGAGGGGCGATCGCTGGTGGGCGTGACGTCACCGCGCACACGCCGCCCCCCCCCACCACCCTCCGCAAGTGACGTCACCGCGTGGCGGGGGGCTGTTGGAATCGCAGTAGTTGTGACGTCACCACAGCATTACTCCCCTCCACCCTTGCACGTGACGTCACGCTGGGCTGGCATTCGCAGTTGTCGTGACGTACACACACAGCAAATGCAGTTGTGACGGCATTCGCACGCACGCTACGTGACGTCATTGTTCAACCTTGCGCGTGACGTCACCGCGCACTTTGAGTTCGCCGATCGTAGTCGTGGTGACGTCGCCTCACAGCGTTGGTGTGTGCGAGATGACGTCACCACACTTATTGTAAAGTCAGAATCGGAGTTCTAGATTTGAAGCTTTCGTGACTGCAAGGATTTATACTCTGAGGTTTTTTCGGTAAAAGCCACGTAGGTAAAAATAAATAAATAATAATGTTTTCTTCTACAAAGAAAATAATAAATCACGACGTTTCGGAGGCAACACAAGCTTCCTTCATCAGGTGTAAAAAGGCACAGCAAAATAACTGTATAGTTATTTGTTATTTTTCGATTTAAAGCTTTCGTGACTGCAGGGATTCATCTTATTGGTTCTTTCGGTAAAGTCACGTAGAAGGGAAATAATAAAATAATAATATAATACATTTGTTATGTTTATTATTTTATTATTTCCATTCTACGTGACTTTACCGAAAGCACCAAGAAGATTATTTGTTATTGTCAGTTATTTTGCTGTTCCTTTTTACACCTGATGAAGGAAGCTCGTGTTGCCTCCGAAACGTCGTGATTTATTATTTTATTTCTATTATTTTTATTATTTATTCAGAATCGGAGTGTTCATTCATCATGGAGGTGGAATCCGATGAGCGAAAAAGCTCTTTTTTTCACAAATGCCCAAGCATCAGCCCTTCATTTTTACTTTTGTTGAGGCCACACGCGGTTTTATTGACGAAAGTGTTGAATTGTTTGTTTGTTCAGAGTTTTATGTCATTTTTTTATTTAAAGAAAATAAAATTAGCGCTGAACGAGCACTTAACATAGAACACGGGGACGTTTGAAGAATCGATCGCGTGGAATCGATAACCCCGAATCGCGCGCCGTTCGCCAAGCGCGGTTGTATGAGGGCTTTAGAATCGATTATAGAATCGAAAAGGTATCGATTTACATCGCGGTTCATATCGTCGTGTGGGGGGGAGGGGGTGTGTATCGATTCGTGAATCGATTCTTGAATCGAACAGCGATTCCAGCTGGAATCGCGTCGCAATTCGGGTCGCGAGGAGTGGAGCTGCGGGGAAATCTGCCGAGCGAGTCCGAGGTTCGCGTAAAGCACCACAACAACAACAACAACCACAACCACAACAACAACAACCACAACAACAACCACCACAACAACCACAACAAAAACCACACTGCTGCAACCACAGCAGCAGCAACAGCCACATAACCAACAACCACGACAACAACCACCACAACAACCACACTGCTACAACAACAACTGCATCAACAACAATAGCAACAACAACAACCACAACAACAACCACAACAATCACAGCAGCAACCACACAGCAACAACAACAACCACACTGCTGCAACCACAACAACCACGACCAACACCACCACAACAACCACACTGCTACAACAACAACTGCTACAACAACAACAACTGCAACAACAACAACAACCACGACAACAACGCGCCACACACACACGCACAGGAGGGGGGTGTCGGGGGTAACCCAAGCCGGCGACCTTCAGGCCCCAAGGCCTCAACGGAGCCTCCCTCTCGCCTCGCCGCTCAAGTTCACCCGGGAAGAAGGGGTGCGGGTGAGTGTGCGCCACTGCGTGGAGAAGTAGGCCAAGTTACACCCCCCACACACACGCACACACGACTGTAGAGCGAACGGTGGTTTCTGGATAAAGCCGTGGCACAAATACGGCTGTCACCACGTGCGTTCAGATGCCCTTCTGCCGGCCGTCTGGAACATTCTGCCCTGCACTCACACAGTCACTCACCCACTCACATAGTCACTCACCCACTCACACAGTCACTCACCCACTCACATAGTCACTCACACAGTCACTCACCCACTCACGCAGACACTCAGCCACTCACATACTCACTCACCCACTCACGCAGACACCCACTCACATAATCACTCGCCCACTCACATAGTCACTCACACACTCACATAGTCACTCACACAGTCACTCACCCACTCACATAGTCACTCACACAGTCACTCACACAGTCACTCACCCACTCACATAGTCACTCACCCACTCACACAGCCACTCACCCACTCACACAGTCACTCACCCACTCACATAGTCACTCACCCACTCACACAGTCACTCACCCACTCACATAGTCACTCACCCACTCACATAGTCACTCACCCACTCTCACAGTCACTCACATAGTCACTCACGCAGTCACTCACCCACTCACATAGTCACTCACCCACTCACGCAGACACCCACTCACATAATCACTCACCCACTCACACAGTCACTCACATAGACACTCACCCACTCACACAGTCACTCGCCCAGTCACATAGTCACTCACTCACGCAGTCACTCACCCACTCACACAGTCACTCACCCACTCACACAGTCACTCACCCACTCACACAGTCACTCACACAGTCACTCACTCACACAGCACTCACGCAGTCACTCACCCACTCACACAGTCACTCACCCACTCACATAGTCACTCACACAGTCACACAGTCACTCACATAGTCACTCACCCACACACTCACCCATCCGATTAGCACGGTTGACTACGTACGTTGCGAATTAAGTTAAACGTATATACATAGACTCACATAGTCACTCACCTAGTGGGCCCATGCACGTATATACGCCTCTTATGTGACGGCCTTAAACAGGTGAGCTAATTTGAGAAAGACATTACTCTCTAAGTCTATGGGTCTCACAGACTCTCTACGCGAGTCTGGGGTCTCTACGTGAGTCGATGGGGTCTCTACGTGAGTCTATGGGTCTCTGTGTGAGTCTATGGGTCTATGTGTGAGTCTATGGGTTTCTGTGTGAGTCTATGGGTCTCTGTGTGAGTCTATGGGTCTATGTGTGAGTCTATGGGTCTATGTGTGAGTCTATGGGTCTCTGTGTGAATCTATGGGTCTCTGTGTGAGTCTGTGGGTCTCTGTGTGAGTCTATGGGTCTCTGTGAGTCTATAGTTTTCTGCGTGAGTCTGTGGGTCTTTATGTGAGTCTGGGCCTCTACATGAGTCCATGGGTCTCTATGCGTGTCGACTTGCTGTGCGTGTTGCCAAGCTGCATTGACTTGCTGTGTGTGTCGGCTTGCTGTGTTGACTTGCTGTGCGTGTTGATGCGCTGCATTGACTGTGTGTGTCGGCTTGCTGTGTTGACTTGCTGTGTGTGTTGATGCGCTGCATTGACTGTGTGTGTCGGCTTGCTGTGTTGACTTGCTGTGCGTGTTGATGCGCTGCATTGACTGTGTGTGTCGGCTTGCTGTGTTGACTTGCTGTGTGTGTTGATGCGCTGCATTGACTATGTGTGTCGGCTTGCTGTGTTGACTTGCTGTGCGTGTTGATGCGCTGCATTGACTGTGTGTGTCGGCTTGCTGTGTTGACTTGCTGTGTGTGTTGATGCGCTGCATTGACTATGTGTGTCGGCTTGCTGTGTTGACTTGCTGTGTGTGTTGATGCGCTGCATTGACTGTGTGTGTCAGCTTGCTGCGTTGACTTGCTGTGCGTGTTGATGCGCTGCATTGACTGTGTGTGTCGGCTTGCTGCGTTGACTTGCTGTGTGTGTCGGCTTGCTGTGTGTTTCCGTGCAGGTGTAGGCCGCTCTGCCGTAGCCCTCATGCTGGTGGTGCCGGTTTCCCGCTTGGCCTCCGCCCTGGCTCCCCGCGCCCAGGCCTGGAGATCTCCCCTCAGGGTGCAGCCGCTCGGTGCGGCCTTCATCATCGCCACCACCGCCGTCGTCCCGCATGTGAGTCGGCGCCACCGCGGTGTTGGTGGTGAAGACCGCTCAGTGGGGCCTTCACCGCCACCACGGTCCCGCATGTGCGTCAGCGCCACCACAGTAGTGGCAGTGGTGAAAACCACTCAGTGGGGCCTTCACCACCACCGCCACCACTGCTGTCGTCGCGCATGTGCGTGAGCGCCACCTTTGTGGTTGCGATGGTGGTGGTGGTGGCGGTGGTGAAGACCGCTCAGTGCGGTCTACATCACCGCCACTACCGTCACTGTGGTGGTGGTGGTGGCGGCCGCGTGTCCGGGCGTTCGTTTTTCGCTCGGCGTTCTCCCCCCCGCCCCCCCGGCTCAAATCGGCGAATGGCAAGGAAGAGGCCTCCTCTGTCGATCGTGGCAGATTTGCCTCCCATTGCTTCCTCTCGTCTCTTTGATTCACCCCCGTGCCCTTCGCCTGTTTTAGGCCCAGGGGCAGCAGCGGCGGCGGTGGTGGAGGGGGGGCCACTGGGGCACCCCTGCGGGGGTCGTGAACCCCGCGCGACCCCGCGACCTCGGCCCCCCTTTGCGGTCGGCGTGGTCGCGAGGCCTCTCCACGGCAACGCAGGGGGGCGGCGGCTCCTCGTACCAGCGTGGGCGGAAGGGACGCAGCAAGGACGCTCGCCCGGAGGAAGATGACAGCAACGAGGTGAGCGGGAGGGAGCGGTGAGGCGAGAGGGAGGGAGCGGTGAGGCGAGCGGGAGGGAGCGGTGAGGCGAGAGGGCGCGTGTGTGTCCATGATAATATCAAAACCGTGAGAGAGTGAAAGCGTTTCCCCTGTCGTGGTATCGAAGCTTCCGCGCTGCGTCCGCTCACGTGCTGGGGGGGGGGGGGGGGGTTTGGGAGAGATCTCAGAGCCAGTTATTCCATCGTCCCTTTTTCGTCGCGACAAACGGGGAGGCCGTGGTCATTGAGACCCTGCTGGTCATCGCGTTGAGACCCTGCCGGTCATCGCGTTGAGACCCTGCCGGTCATCGCGTTGAGACCCTGCTGGTCATCGTGGGTGAGACCCTGCTGGTCATCGTGGGTGGGACCCTGCCGGTCATCGCGTTGAGACCCTGCCGGTCATCGCGTTGAGACCCTGCCGGTGATCGCGTTGAGACCCTGCTGGTGATCGTGTTGAGACCCTGCCGGTCATCGTGGGTGAGGTCCTGCCGCTCGTCGTTCTACAGGAGCAGCCTGGCGAGGGGGAGGAGGAGGAGGAGGCTTCGTTCGTGACGCAGGAAGGTGTCGTGAAGGACTACAAGGACCTTGATAAGACGGTGGCTTCCTTCCGATTTGACCTCGTCATGAAGGCCGGCCTGGACATCTCAAACAAGTGAGACACATCATGGTCATCCGCGCCTCACGATTAGCATGGTTGGCTACGTAGGGTGCGAAAGAAGTTCTACGTACGTACATCGTCATCGTCATTGCGAGTGTGCTCATGATTGCGAGTGTGCACTGTCTGTGTGATGTCTTCTGTCTGGTGTGTGCTTTCTGGTGCGTTTGCGTCGTCCGTTGCGTTCTCACTTTCACGTCGTCGGTGCCGCCTGCTCCATCTCTACTCTTTGGTTCTTTCGGTAAAGTCACGTAGAAGGGAAATAATAAAAGAATAAAAATAAACGCAAGTAGCCGTCCTCAGGTGAAGACCGCTGTCTCCCCGACAGACCTGGTCTTCACCTGAGGACGGCTGCTTGCGTTGTGGCTGAAATGTCGTGAGAATTATTTTATTATGTTTTATTTTTATTATTGTATTATTTCCCTTCTACGTGACTTTACCGAAAGAACCAAGAAGATTAATCCCTGCAGTCACGAAAGCTTTAAATCGAAATTTGATTTCATAAACTTTTTTTTTACCTACGTGACTTTACCGAAAGAACCAAAGAGTATGGATCCTTGCAGTCACGAAAACTTCAAATCTAGACTGCTCCATCTCGTTTATTCGTGTTGCACACCTCATTTCGCCTCGTCCGTGTCGTTCGCGACAAACCACGATGACGAATCCTCGTCCCCGTTCAGCAACGCTCGACTACGTCGACGCCATAGGTCGGTCGCCTCTCCCCCCCCCCCCTCTCCCCCGCGTGCACCAATCGACGTGCGTTGTGACAAGCGATTCGGACGGACGGCTCGCATCACCGCCGTAGTGTAGCGTCACCATAGCGCTGCGTCGCTGCGTAGCGTAATGTAGCATTGCGTAGCGTCACATCGCTGCGTAGCGTAACGTAGCGTTGCGTCGCTCCGTAGCGTTGCGTAGCGTCACACCCTCGAGTTCCTCCCCCCCCCCCCGAGGTCACGAGGTCACGCCCCCCCCCCCCTTGCGGTGTCGCGCAGGGCCATCGAGGACGCCTTCTACGCCAACCGCCTGCGGCTCAACGGACAGCGGCTGATCAAGAAGAGCCGCACGGTAGGCGGCGAAGCAGGCTCGGCCACGCCACGCACGGACTCGCGTAGAAATACACAGACTCACACGGACTCGCACGGACTCACACGGACTCGCACAAACTCGCACGGATTCACACAGACTCGCACGGACTCACACGGACTCGCACGGACTCACACGGACTCGCACGGACTCGCACGGACTCGCACGGACTCACACGGACTCACACGAACTCGCACGGACTCACACGGACTCACACGGACTCGCACGGACTCGCACGAACTCACACGAACTCGCACGGACTCACACGGACTCGCACGGACTCGCACGGACTCGCACGGACTTGCACGGACTCATGAACTCGCACGGACTCGCACGGACTCGCACGGACTCGCATGGACTCACACAGACTCACACGAACTCACGTGGACTCACACGGACTCACACGAACTCACACGAACTCACACGAACTCACACAAACTCGCACGGACTCGCACGGACTCGCACAGACTCATGAACTCACACGGATTCACAGACTCACACGGACTCACACGAACTCACACAAACTCGCACGGACTCGCACAGACTCATGAACTCACGCGGATTCACAGACTCACACGGATTCACACGGATTCACACAGACTCGCATACAAATGCACAGACTCACACGGACTCACACGGACTCACACGGACATGGACACACCGTTACTCGCGCAAACGCACGGCTGCACAGGGCGAAAACGTGGGGCCCTGCAATTTGCTCCCCGCCACTGCTGGTGCAAGAGCCCTCCACTCACGGGAGAGAGAGGGAGGGGGTGGGGTGGGGGGGAGGGAGGAGGTGGGGTGGGAAGAAGGGAGGGAGAGGGTGGGGGGAGTGAGGAAGGAGGTGGGGGGAAGGGAGGAGGTGGGGTGGGGGGGAGGGAGGAGGTGGGGTGGGGGGAGGGTGGGGTGGGGGGGAGGGAGGTGGGGTGGGGGGGAGAGAGGGAGGGAGGAAGGAGGTGGGGTGGGGGGGAGGGAGGAGGTGGGGTGGGGGGGGAGGGTGGGAGAGGGGTGGGGGGAGGGAGGAGGTGGGGGGAAGGGAGGGAGGAGGTGGGGTGGGGGGGGAGGGAGGAGGTGGGGTGGGGGGGAGGGAGGAGGTGGGGTGGGGGGGAGGGTGGGAGAGGGTGGGGGGGAGGGAGGGAGGGAGGAGGTGGGGGGGAGGGAGGGAGGGAGGAGGTGGGGTGGGGGGGGAGGGAGGGAGGTGGGGTGGGGGGGGAGGGAAGGGGTGGGGGGGAGGGAGGGAGGGAGGGAGGGGGAGCTCCGGAGGGGGGTGGGGGTGAGGGATGAGCGGTCAGGTCACAGGCCGAGCGGATGACAAGCCCGGGAGCTCAGCTGGTTCTTGTTGTTGCTGTTACTGGCGAAGCGTCACGGCTACTCGAATTGTCAATGTCGTAGTGGGTTTACTCTCCAACACACAACCGGTTAGTGCTGTACTAGTAACGAATTGTTAATGTTGCAGTGGGTTTACTCTCCAACACACAACCGGTTAGTGCTGTACTAGTATACTACACTATAGGCTACATTACTATACACTACACTACTATCCACTAAGATACACTATTATACACTACACTATACTTGTAAACGTCGTGGGTTTACTTCTCTAACACACGACCGGTGAGTGCTGAACAAGTCGGCGATTGGGCCCGTTTAGTTTACGTGGCAAAGTTGGGCCCGTTTAGTTTACGTGGCAAAGTTGGGCACGTTTAGATTACGTGGCAAAGTTGGGCCCGTTTAGTTTACGTGGCAAAGTTGGGCCCGTTTAGTTTACGTGGCAAAGTTGGGCACGTTTAGATTACGTGGCAAAGTTGGGCCCGTTTAGTTTACGTGGCAAAGTTGGGCACGTTTAGATTACGTGGCAAAGTTGGGCACGTTTAGTTTACGTGGCAAAGTTGGGCCCGTTTAGTTTACATGGCAAAGTTGGGCACGTTTAGATTACGTGGCAAAGTTGGGCACGTTTAGATTACGTGGCAAAGTTGGGCCCGTTTAGTTTACATGGCAAAGTTGGGCACGTTTAGTTTACGTGGCAAAGTTGGGCACGTTTAGTTTACATGGCAAAGTTGGGCACGTTTAGTTTACATGGCAAAGTTGGGCCCGTTTAGTTTACGTGGCAAAGTTGGGCACGTTTAGTTTACATGGCAAAGTTGGGCCCGTTTAGTTTACGTGGCAAAGTTGGGCACGTTTAGATTACGTGGCAAAGTTGGGCACGTTTAGTTTACATGGCAAAGTTGGGCACGTTTAGTTTACATGGCAAAGTTGGGCCCGTTTAGTTTACGTGGCAAAGTTGGGCACGTTTAGTTTACGTGGCAAAGTTGGGCACGTTTAGTTTACATGGCAAAGTTGGGCACGTTTAGATTACGTGGCAAAGTTGGGCACGTTTAGTTTACATGGCAAAGTTGGGCACGTTTAGTTTACGTGGCAAAGTTGGGCACGTTTAGTTTACGTGGCAAAGTTGGGCCCGATTAGTTTACGTGGCAAAGTTGGGCACGTTTAGTTTACGTGGCAAAGTTGGGCCCGTTTAGTTTACGTGGCAAAGTTGGGCCCGATTAGTTTACGTGGCAAAGTTGGGCACGTTTAGTTTACGTGGCAAAGTTGGGCCCGATTAGTTTACGTGGCAAAGTTGGGCCCGATTAGTTTACGTGGCAAAGTTGGGCCCGTTTAGTTTACGTGGCAAAGTTGGGCCCGATTAGTTTACGTGGCAAAGTTGGGCCCGATTAGTTTACGTGGCAAAGTTGGGCACGTTTAGTTTACGTGGCAAAGTTGGGCCCGTTTAGTTTACGTGGCAAAGTTGGGCCCGTTTAGTTTACGTGGCAAAGTTGGGCCCGATTAGTTTACGTGGCAAAGTTGGGCACGTTTAGTTTACGTGGCAAAGTTGGGCCCGATTAGTTTACGTGGCAAAGTTGGGCCCGATTAGTTTACGTGGCAAAGTTGGGCCCGTTTAGTTTACGTGGCAAAGTTGGGCCCGATTAGTTTACGTGGCAAAGTTGGGCCCGATTAGTTTACGTGGCAAAGTTGGGCCCGTTTAGTTTACGTGGCAAAGTTGGGCCCGATTAGTTTACGTGGCAAAGTTGGGCACGTTTAGTTTACGTGGCAAAGTTGGGCCCGTTTAGTTTACATGGCAAAGTTGGGCACGATTAGTTTATGTGGCAAAGTTGGGCACGATTAGTTTATGTGGCAAAGTTGGGCACGATTAGTTTACGTGGCAAAGTTGGGCACGTTTAGTTTACGTGGCAAAGTTGGGCACGTTTAGTTTACGTGGCAAAGTTGGGCACGTTTAGTTTACGTGGCAAAGTTGGGCACGATTAGTTTATGTGGCAAAGTTGGGCACGTTTAGTTTACGTGGCAAAGTTGGGCACGTTTAGTTTACGTGGCAAAGTTGGGCTCGATTAGTTTACGTGGCAAAGTTGGGCACGTTTAGTTTACGTGGCAAAGTTGGGCACGTTTAGTTTACGTGGCAAAGTTGGGCACGTTTAGATTACGTGGCAAAGTTGGGCACGTTTAGTTTACGTGGCAAAGTTGGGCACGTTTAGTTTACATGGCAAAGTTGGGCACGTTTAGTTTACGTGGCAAAGTTGGGCACGTTTAGTTTACGTGGCAAAGTTGGGCACGTTTAGTTTACATGGCAAAGTTGGGCACGTTTAGTTTACATGGCAAAGTTGGGCACGTTTAGTTTACGTGGCAAAGTTGGGCACGTTTAGTTTACGTGGCAAAGTTGGGCACGTTTAGTTTACGTGGCAAAGTTGGGCACGTTTAGTTTACATGGCAAAGTTGGGCACGTTTAGATTACGTGGCAAAGTTGGGCACGTTTAGTTTACGTGGCAAAGTTTGGCCCGATTAGTTTACGTGGCAAAGTTGGGCCCGATTAGTTTACGTGGCAAAGTTGGGCACGTTTAGTTTACGTGGCAAAGTTGGGCCCGATTAGTTTACGTGGCAAAGTTGGGCTCGATTAGTTTACGTGGCAAAGTTGGGCTCGATTAGTTTACGTGGCAACCCCGTACTGAGTTGGCTGTGTCGTCGTCGTTATCGGCGGTTTTAACGACCGCATTCATACTCGCAGGGGCCCCCCCCCATGGCTTCTCTCCGCGACGACCGCTGCGTCCGCGACTCTCCACGCCGTCTCTCCGTCCTCCCTCCGCAGGTGCGCGAGGGCGACGTCCTGGACCTCCTGCTGCCGGTTCCCGCGGGGGCGCCGGCCTCGGCGTCGGCGTCGGTCCCGGCGGCGACGACCGACTCGGGGAGGAGGGGAGGAGACGCCCAGGGGGAGGCGGTGGCGCGCGTGGTGGTGCTGCGCGCCAGCGAGGAGCGCTCGCCCTCCCAGCGCTACGGCGTGCGCCTGCGCCGCTGGAAGCAGCTGCTGCTGCCGCCAGCGCCGCGCGGCACCGCCTAGGGGGGTGGGGGGGGTAGCGGTGGGGGGGGGGGGGGTAACAGTGGGGGGGGGGGGCCTCCGTACTCGCCGCTTTTCCACTGGTGCATCCGAGCCGAGCCAGCCTCCCTCGCCGCCGCCACCGCCGTCACCGCCGTCACCCCGCGGGTGAACTCAAGCTGCTGTTTGCTTTAGCAGGCCAGGGCCACGCTCTGAGCGAGCGTCATCATCATAATAATAGCGCTTTATTCAGGAGCGACACTGGCCGTCGCAGACGGATGCCTCAATGAAGTGGGTCGTTGTCATAGTGCGGGGAAATTTACAGCGGCGCCGATTGTAATAACGTGGAGTGGGCGGGGAAACCGGAAGGACCCGGAGAAAAATCCACGAGACCACACGGGGTGGGGGGGGGACACGTCGGGGGAGAGAGAGGGGAACCTCGTCGTGTCCGTGAAGCGGCGCCCGTGCGGCAGATAGCCTCGCTCGGCGAGAACGGACGACGCGGATACCACGCGGATACCACGCGGATACCACGCGGATACCACGCGGATACCACGCGGTTGTTACGAACGGCCGCCATCGCGGGGACTTTGCGCTCGGTGCGACCGGGGGGTGGGGGAGGGGGGGAGAGTTCCGTTTGCTTCATCACGAGACGCCGGTACGTTCCCCCGCCCCCTCCTCCCCTGTTATGGCCGAGCTAATTTCGGTGGATCGTGGTGGAGTGGGCGAGACTCTTTGGCAATCTGTCATTCCCATCGGGCAATAACACCACGTCCACAGTGCATAAAAAAACAGGTGCAGTCTCCCAATTATTACCACCACCCACGTGCTCTCTCTCTCTCGACTGGCCTCTTCTAATGTGACGTGCAGCCAGGGCCATTGCCCCCGAAACGTCGCTCGTCATCGCCCTCATTGCGCACGCAAAGTCGCTCGCCACAGCAACGAACAGCAAGACGTCGCCGCTGGTCTCGTCGGGGAGCTGTGAACCATCGTCACCGCGCCGCCGACTCCGGACGTCATCTTCTCAGCGGCGGCGGTGGCTCCTGGCTGGGCCGTCGAACAAAAACGGCGGTGGTCACAGCATCGTCGCGTGGCGCCATCCGATGGCGCTTCTGCGGCCGTCTGGAACGCTCTTCCTTCTGATATTCGGAAGCCGCTGGGAGCTGTGCACTTTTAAATCATCAGCGAGATTGAAAATGCATTTATTTAAAAACTGCTTTTTGTGTGTTTAGTTTGTTGTCTGTACCCCCCGCACCTCCAATTAGCACGGTTGGCTACGTACGGTGCGAAAGAAGTTCAACATACATACACACACGCTATACAATACACACTACACAACTACACAGTCCATTATACAGTACACTATGTACTACACCACTCTATGCTTCACAACTATACACTACACCACTATACTACATTGAAAACTGCTTTGTGTTTAGTTTGTCATCCTTCCCACAGTCACCCACACACTCACATAGTCACTCACCCACTCACACAGTCACTCACCCACTCACACAGTCACTCACCCACTCACACAGTCACTCACCCACTCACATAGTCACCCACTCACACAGTCACTCACCCACTCACATAGTCACCCACTCACACAGTCACTAACCCACTCACACAGTCACTCACCTACTCAAATGGTCACTCACCCACTCACACAGTCACTCACCCACTCACACAGTCACTCACCCACTCACATAGTCACTCACACAGTCACTAACCCACTCACACAGTCACTCACCCACTCAAATGGTCACTCACCCACTCACACAGTCACCCACTCACAGTCACTCACCCACTCACACAGTCATTCACATAGCCACTCACCCACTCACAGTCACCCACTCACACAGTCACTCACATAGCCACTCACCCACTCACACAGTCACTCACCCACTCACACAGTCACTCACCCACTCACATAGCCACTCACCCACTCACACAGTCACTCACCCACTCACACAGTCACTCACCCACTCACACAGTCACTCACCCACTCACACAGTCACACACCCACTCACACAGTCACTCACCCACTTATAGTCACTCACCCACTCACATAGTCACTCACACAGTCACCCACTCACATAGTCACTCAGTCACTCACCCACTCACATAGTCACCCATTCACACAGTCACTCACCCACTCACAGTCACTCACCCACTCACACAGTCACTCACCCACTCACACAGTCACCCACTCACACAGTCACTCACCCACTCGCACAGTCACTCGCCCGCACCTCCGATTGGCACGGTTGGCTACGTCACGGTGCGAAAGAAGTTCAACGTGCATGCGTCGGTACGCACACGCTCACTCCGCTTCGGTCGAGCCAGCAGCCTGAATGGGTTCCACCACGGCCGACCGTGCAGGTCGCGTACGGTAGGGTAACGCGTGGGTAACCTCCCCCTCCATCAACCTCTACCAAGACGGACGCCTTGGGGTGCAACGCGGAGGCTCAAAGTCCACTTCAGAGTGGCCTCGCCTTGCTGGCCGATACGTGGCGTGTGCGAAGAAGAGACCTGAGCTGCCCCCTACACCGTGCACGTGCAAGCGATGTGTGGGTGTCGGTGTGTGTGTGGGTTTCTACGCTTGCGAAACGTGTACCCCCCCCCCCCCACTAATGGAACATCTTCGCCGGTTAGAAACATTCAGGCTGGCCTGCCTACGATCCATCCTGGGTTTAACCAGGCTGGATTGTGTGAGGAGCTCACAAATCCTTGATAGATCTGGGCAGAGTCCTATCGGTGAGCTCCTCCAGCAGGAAAGGCTGCGTTGGCTGGGTCATGTAGCCCGCAAGATCGGCCTCAGTGGAGGAGGCTCGTGAAGGACGCTACTGGGCAGTTGGAGGCAGTCACCCTCCAACAACAACGGAGGGCGGAGGAGCGACGCTCACAACAACGAGCGGAGCGCCGGGTGGCTAAAGCACAGCAAGTTGGCACAGTCGGGGGCACAGGTGGTGCATCAGCCAGTCCAGAGGGGGCGTGTCTTCACTGAGGGGGGCGTGTTAGACACGTCCCCCTCAGTGAGGCAGATGTGATAGGTGCCTCCCCTGGTGCTTTTTCATTGCAGTTTCACGACGAGACCAGCGAGCCTAAATATCTGTATACACATACGTGAAATAAGTTACCTGGACTATGGAAGGCGAGGACATGAAATGAAGGGGTCTACAAACATTACATTGGTGACATACTGAGATAGTAACAGGCACGCGCTTATTGCCCGCGCTCCATCCAGGTGTAGTGTTGTAAACGACGGACTTCTAAACTTCTTTATGACACACTGTTTATTGTCTTAATACACAGTCCCTATCACACAAAGGGGGTATATGGTCCCTTCACCCGTTACCCTCAGAAGGTACAAGCCTCCGGACCTTGCAGGCTATCTAATCTCCCTGCTATCCCAGCGTCCTCTGGCTGGACCTAGGGGATCTCTCCCCGACCACTGGTTACACTGAGCCCTAGCCCTGATAAGGGCTGGAGGGCTTGGTCCAGGGTCCTAGATGTCTTCAGCCGACTTGGGTCTTCGTGTAGCAGAACTGGCCAAGAGCTCTCAGCGCTCTGGCTTTTATACCTGTTCGTGGCCGGGTTGTCCAATCGCCGGCCACCTTGTGGAACCCTCCGATTGGTCCTTCCCAATCTGGCGTTTGGATCCTACCTCACCCCATTTGACCCTGACCGTTTGATTGAGCGGGAAAACCTTGTTTACGATCCGCTCGCGAACAGCGAGTAGTTATCACCACTACACAGTTACTGAGGGGTTGCGCAATCAGAGGGGAGGCTGAGCTCGTCGCTGCCTCACCTCGTCTCTTCCTGTATTAGCAGCGGAGCTCCGCAAATTTGACGATTTTTACGATAAGTAACATTTTTAAAAACTTTTTTTTAAACACGCTTTAATGAAATGTACCGTTACTAGTAATGGAATAACTCCACGACTCCAGGAAGTGGCCCTGAAGCTTGCCATAATGTAAGGGACCGTGGTGATTTACAGCCAACGTCAAGTTGAGCGTGGACAATTAGACCCAAGCCGAAACATAACGTATAAAAAAGAATGTTTAAAGTTATGCATTTTTATGACAGAATGTAGTATTGTCATCAGTATGACATAAGTATACCAAGTTTGCAGTCGATACCACATTGGGAAGTGGGTTAAAATTGAGTTACAAGATTTGATGATACAAGTTCATGTATTAGGTATAGCCCTGTGAGCCATTCGGCTCTTGAATCGGGTGCAACCGCAACAAACAAAAAAACATGAACAAGAAAACATCTTTAAGTGACTATGTGACTAAGTGCAAACAGAAAATCCAAGAAAAGACAGCAAAATAACGCAGAAAAAGCACCGTACACCAACACTGTGTGCACAAATCCCAGTGGGATGCAAGTCAAACAACAACAACCACAAGACAACTTAGATTAAGGCCATCAGTCTAACTCCGTACTACAACAAACAGTCACGTATAAAGAGAAAATAATAAATTAAATAATAGCATAACTTAGCAATCTTTGAAATACGTAATCAACCAGGCTATGCGTTAATTGTGTGTTGACCGACTCTCTGTGTTGCATTACAATACATTTCGATATTTTGCTAGGTTATTTAATTTAGTGCGTCTCTCTCCCGTTCTCCTAATTAAATCCTTTATATTAAGTTCACTTGCTTGCTTAGGACCGTGCAAATCTTTCAGTCGTTTTTTAACCCACTTCCCGTGATCCAATCGAGCTGACATTTTCCACACAGACTCGTTGTGCGTGACAATTAATGTTCGTGAAAATTTTTTTCCAAAATTTTACACTTTTTAGGACAAAAATATATTTAATTACCAATTGCTTAATGCTGCCATGCAATCATCTGACCCATAGGTGGCAGCCATCTCAAGCCAGAGGACGAGAGGACTCTAGCCGCCACGCATATAAAGGATTCATAGTGAAAAACTTTGTTTTTACGGGTTATACTTGTTACGGGTTATACTTGTTTTCAAGCTTGCGTACCGTACCACGTCGTCATCCACTCATTGACATTCTAATTTTTTCTCTGCCCCCTCCCTCTCTCCGCCCCCGCCCCCTCTCTATTTAAGGCCTCGTTACAGAGACGCTTTCTCTCTTTGTGCCGATACGTGTTCTCTCTCTATCTTTGTGATATCTGTCTGCTTATATGTCTGTCTATAGTTTTCTGGTTAGATGTTTGTTGCTATTTCATTTATACCTGATGACGATTGCTTGTGTTGCAATCGAAACGTCGTAGCATGCTAGTATTTAATTTATTATTTTATCTTTATACGTGACTTTACCGAAAGAACCAAAGAGTGAGTTAAATATTAGAGAAAGCGCGTAAAAAAATAATTGGAATCGTACAGAAATTACACTTATAACACAGATCAGTGGGAAAATCTTAATACAGTATTTTATTCTTTTTTTTTACTTTTCGTAACAGCTATTTTCATTGGAGTATGTCAGGTGAGAGGCTCTGTCTCCCCTGCCTCCCCTGGTGTTTGTACAGCAGACAATGGAAACTCAACGTCGCCTGGTACACGAACACATCGTGAAACCGCTGGAGCTAACGCGGTTGTTGTTGTTGATGGTGAGTTGATGCCCCAGCTGCTACCAACTTCACCACTGCGGGTGGCTCTTTAATAGTGACCCGCGGTGCACTGGACCACGTGTGTACACACACGCACGCACGCGCACTGTACACACGCACGCGCGCGCACTGTACACATACACGCGCGCGCACTGTACACACACACGCACGCGCTCTGTACACACACACGCGCACTGTACGCACGCGCGCGCACTGTACACACACACGCGCGCGCACTGTACACACGCACGCACGCGCACTGTACACACGCACGCACGCGCACTGTACACACACGCACGCGCACTGTACACACACGCACGCGCACTGTACACACGCACGCGCGCGCACTGTACACACACGCACGCGCACTGTACACACGCACGCGCACTGTACACACACGCACGCGCACTGTACACACGCACGCACGCGCACTGTACACACACGCACGCGCACTGTACACACGCACGCGCGCGCACTGTACACATACACGCGCGCGCACTGTACACACACACGCACGCGCTCTGTACACACACACGCGCACTGTACGCACGCGCGCGCACTGTACACACACACGCGCGCGCACTGTACACACGCACGCACGCGCACTGTACACACGCACGCACGCGCACTGTACACACGCACGCACGCGCACTGTACACACACGCACGCGCACTGTGCTACAAAGTCCACTCGGAGTGCTGCGATCAGCTGCGAGGTGCCTCAGGCGGGTACGTGAAACGATCCACACGTGGATTTTCTTTAGTTTATACTCTACTACGTACTCTAGTTTATACTCTAGTTTATGCTCTAGTTCACACTCTAGTGGATACTCTAGTGGATACTCTAGTTTACATTCTAGTTTACATTCTAGTTTACACTCTAGTTTATACTCTAGTTCACACTCTAGTTCACACTCTAGTTTATATTCTAGTGGATACTCTAGTTTATATTCTAGTTTACATTCTAGTTTACACTCTAGTTTATACTCTAGTTCACACTCTAGTTCACACTCTAGTGGATACTCTAGTGGATACTCTAGTGGATACTCTAGTTTACATTCTAGTTTACACTCTAGTTTATACTCTAGTTCACACTCTAGTTCACACTCTAGTTTATATTCTAGTGGATACTCTAGTTTATATTCTAGTTTACATTCTAGTTTACACTCTAGTTTATACTCTAGTTCACACTCTAGTTCACACTCTAGTTTATATTCTAGTGGATACTCTAGTTTATATTCTAGTTTACATTCTAGTTTACACTCTAGTTTATACTCTAGTTTACACTCTAGTTCACACTCTAGTTTATATTCTAGTGGATACTCTAGTTTATATTCTAGTTTACATTCTAGTTTACACTCTAGTTTATACTCTAGTTCACACTCTAGTTCACACTCTAGTTTATATTCTAGTGGATACTCTAGTTTATATTCTAGTTTACATTCTAGTTTACACTCTAGTTTATACTCTAGTTTACACTCTAGTTCACACTCTAGTGGATACTCTAGTTTATATTCTAGTTTATATTCTAGTTTACACTCTAGTTTATACTCTAGTTCACACTCTAGTTCACACTCTAGTTTATATTCTAGTGGATACTCTAGTTTATATTCTAGTTTACATTCTAGTTTACACTCTAGTTTATACTCTAGTTCACACTCTAGTTCACACTCTAGTGGATACTCTAGTGGATACTCTAGTGGATACTCTAGTTTACATTCTAGTTTACACTCTAGTTTACACTCTAGTTTATACTCTAGTTCACACTCTAGTTCACACTCTAGTTTATATTCTAGTGGATACTCTAGTTTATATTCTAGTTTACATTCTAGTTTACACTCTAGTTTATACTCTAGTTCACACTCTAGTTCACACTCTAGTGGATACTCTAGTGGATACTCTAGTGGATACTCTAGTGGATACTCTAGTTTACATTCTAGTTTACACTCTAGTTTATACTCTAGTTCACACTCTAGTTCACACTCTAGTTCACACTCTAGTTTATATTCTAGTGGATACTCTAGTTTATATTCTAGTTTACATTCTAGTTTACACTCTAGTTTATACTCTAGTTCACACTCTAGTTCACACTCTAGTTTATATTCTAGTGGATACTCTAGTTTATATTCTAGTTTACATTCTAGTTTACACTCTATTTTATACTCTAGTTTACACTCTAGTTCACACTCTAGTTTATATTCTAGTGGATACTCTAGTTTATATTCTAGTTTACATTCTAGTTTACACTCTAGTTTATACTCTAGTTCACACTCTAGTTCACACTCTAGTTTATATTCTAGTGGATACTCTAGTTTACATTCTAGTTTACATTCTAGTTTACACTCTAGTTTATACTCTAGTTCACACTCTAGTTCACACTCTAGTGGATACTCTAGTGGATACTCTAGTTTATATTCTAGTTTACATTCTAGTTTACACTCTAGTTTATACTCTAGTTCACACTCTAGTTCACACTCTAGTTTATATTCTAGTGGATACTCTAGTTTATATTCTAGTTTATATTCTAGTTTACACTCTAGTTTATACTCTAGTTTATATTCTAGTTTATATTCTAGTTTATATTCTAGTTTATACTCTAGTTTATATTCTAGTTTATATTCTAGTTTATACTCTAGTTTACACTCTAGTTTATACTCTAGTTCACACTCTAGTTCACACTCTAGTGGATACTCTAGTTTATATTCTAGTTTATATTTTAGTTTACACTCTAGTTTATACTCTAGTTTACACTCTAGTTTATAATCTAGCCCCCTCGTGTACTCCGCTCGTGGTTCTTCCACCAATGCTTACGTTGCTTCTGCGGCCTCTATCAGATCTCAGGCGCGTTAGACCCCAACACACGCTGTGTAGGGCACACTCTCGCATCTCGCTTTCTCTCTCTCTGGGATCCTTCCTCGTGTCTTAGCACCTCCGGTTGGCTCGGTTGGCTTAAACGTGCGGTGGCAACGAAGTTCAACGTACACACACATCGACTCACATAGTCACTCACTCACTCACCCACTCACATAGTCACTCACTCGCACAGTCACTCACCCACTCTCACAGTCACTCACCCACCCACTCACACAGTCACTCACCCACCCACTCACACAGTCACACAGTCACTCACCCACTCTCACAGTCACTCACCCACCCACTCACACAGTCACTCACCCACCCACTCACACAGTCACTCACCCACTCACACAGTCACTCACCCACTCACACAGTCACTCACCCACCCACTCACACAGTCACTCACCCACCCACTCACGTAGTCACTCACCCACTCACACAGTCACTCACCCACTCACACAGTCACTCACCCACTCACATAGTCACTCACCCACTCACATAGTTACTCACCCACTCACACAGTCACTCACCCACTCACACAGTCACTCACCCACTCACACAGTCACTCACCCACTCACATAGTCACTCACACAGTCACTCACCCACTCATATAGTCACTCACCCACTCATACAGTCACTCACCCACTCACACAGTCACTCACCCACTCAGATAGTCACTCACACAGTCACTCACCCACTCATATAGTCACTCACCCACTCACACAGTCAGTCACCCACTCACACAGTCACTCACCCACTCACATAGTCACTCACACAGTCACTCACCCACTCACACAGTCAGTCACCCACTCACACAGTCACTCACCCACTCACATAGTCACTCACACAGTCACTCACCCACTCATATAGTCACTCACCCACTCACACAGTCACTCACACAGTCACTCACACAGTCACCCACCCAACACACTCGCCCATCCTCCGATCACGTGCATTATAATGCCGTCCACAGCCATCACCACCACCACCACCAACCACCACCTCGCGACCATGAACACCAATTCCATCTCGCCCAACCCAGAGACGACGATGATGATGATCTGGAGTCGGGGTCATGGCATCACCGCTGCCGCTACCGCTGATGGCGGTGGTTGGAGTTGGCGCTGGGTGGCGTGGGGGGCCGTGGGAACTTCCCTGGCCGTGGGGGGCCTCTGGCTGTGGCTGAGCAAGAGGAGGAGTGAGACGAGGCTGCGTGTGGGCACGGTCTCCGCCCTGGCGCTCTTCCCCGTCAAGTCGTGCCGTCCGCTGGCGCTCACCGAGGCTACGTGCGGACCCAGGGGCATGTCTCTCGGGCCCGTGAGCGACAGGCGAGTTGGGGGTCAAGGGGGATGGGGTCACGGCGTGGAACGGGGTCAGTGGGCTCATTGAAGGGGCGTTCGCACGGAGACGTCACACGGAGGCGTTCACACTGACACGCACACACGGGGGCATTTTGAAGGGTGCACTTCTACCCAATTGTGGAGTGACCCAGTGGCTTTGTTAGCAGAGGTCGCAAACGAGTTTTGATTCCTTACCTGTACCCGGCCGCACCAGGGTCGCAAACGGGTACCCGTACCCGGCCGTACCCTACCCATTCCCGGCCGGGTATCGGGTACCTGATTGCGACCTCTGGGATGAAGCCATGTTGCAGGCGCGGGTGGGTTGATTCTAGGAACTTTGTGAGAAGAGACAAGACGTTGGGAAATGAGTGACAAACGGTGACTCACCAGTGACTCACGATCTACCCGTACCCGGCCGCACCAGGGTCGCAAACGGCTACCCGTACCCGGCCGGGTACGGGTAGCCGGGTATCGGGTAGGGTACGGGTATCGGGTACCCGGTTGCGACCTTTGTTTGTTAGACACCTCCCTCTCTCCTGCCTCCCTCCCTCTCCCCTCTGTTTTTTTGGCCTTGATTAATCGGTATATTTATTTACACTGGAGGAATCCGAGGCACCGTAAAGCTCTTTTCGCCGATGTCCAATCCACTGCTGGATGCAGGCCTCTCCACACCATGCTGTTGCCATCTGACACGATACTACGATAAAATCCACATAAAACACGTGCCCATGAGCAGATTTCAACGCTGTCTCTTTCGCAGATGTACTCTCTCGCGTTCCATTCCTTGGCTGTCACTCAGTCATTAGCCTTGACCATCGGACATCATCCCTTCGAGCGAAATGTCCTGCCCAAGCCCACATGCTCTTCTGAATAGTTTAAGTGACGGCATTAACCTGCACACGCACTCTTGTCCACGTGTTCCTCTTTCTGTCTCTCAGTATTTAATAATAATAAAAACTAGAACAATGAAACCAGAGCTGAAATGTTTTGCTTTTGAATGATAGACCGATGTTGATCAATTGATAAAATGTGACGATGTTACGATGTTGTGACATTCACTTTATGGCACGAGAGTCGAGTTATGTGATTTTAAATTGAGCCATCCATTTAAAATCACCCCCCAACCCCCACCAAACCTCCCCTCTCTCTCCCCTCCCTCTCCTGCCTCTCCTTCCCTCTCTTGCCTCTCCCTCCTTTTCTAATGTCAAAATAGTAAATTTATTATCCGTGACAAATTTTGCAACCGATATTCCAGTTGTCATGCATTTTGCTCATTTATAAAATGCTTTGGGTGATTCCTGCTGTTTAATGATGTTGCATGCGATATGGATATCTGAAAAATATGTGATACCACGTGGTCATTTATACGTCCTTTTTGTGTTGTCATTACTTTATTACACCACAATAGTGCTCAACTGTTGCTTCAGACACCAGAGGAACGAGTCTCATGCACGCTGAGCCGACTCCTGTGGGCACACATGGCGTCCATCAAGTGAAAGAACGCCGGGAAGATAATGCACCAAGACAAATCTTGAGCAAGTACATCTCTGAGCAAGTACGTCTCTGCCGGGAGATGAACACCAGATAATGCACCAAGACAGATCTTGAGCAAGTACGTCTCTGAGCAAGTACGTCTCTGCCGGGAGATGGACACCAGCTTCTTTACTACACTGGGCGATTTCTTCTCCATCGGCGTTGGCGGATGGGATGGTGTTTCCAATCTCCTTGGTCTTTCACACCTGCAGCTGTGCTCATTCAGCTCTGGGCCCCGATGTTTGCAACGTGCCACTGACAGGATACACAAGCACCTGCAGGTGTCAGGGTCTGGCCTTTCCGCGCATGGTTTGCACAAGCCGGGAGATTTTTGTCGTTCTCGTGATCTCCGCTCACATTTGGTGCGCTGCTGAAAAGACATTTCTCCATAACCTGCATTGTGGCGTAGTTTGAATTTATAAACCCGTAGAGTGATGTTGGCGGTCTCTGTGGGGAGACATTCGTGGTTCTCATCGTTACACCATCCAGAGCAGCGTAAGAGCGGCACGCACGACGGCCGGAAGAAGTGCTCCACCTCATCTGGATACTCGTGCAGGATGTCGATCACCGTTTCCATCGGCTGGCAGTAACTCCGCCTCATCACCTCGTCAAACTTCATCACTCCATTCTTCAGATGACTTTGTCCAGACGAAACACTCGTGGGCTGGCCCGGTGCCGTTGTGCTGGTCCCACACGTCCACAGCCAGCGAGTGCCACAGCTGCAAAGTTCAAGGTCGCCCTCAATGAACCACTTGTAGCCACAACACAGACGAGGTCACGGCGAGGTCACGGCGAGGTCACGGCACTCCTTCCCCTCTCTCATTTCTCTCTCTCACCCCTCTCCCTCTGTCCCCTCCCCCCTCCCTCCCCTCCCCTCCCTCCTGTTTTTTACTATTAGAAGAAGCAGAAAGATGCTCGGTTTTTCGGCACTTTGCTTCGTTCATCATGTCGTTTTTTTGCTTTTATGCCCCCTTTTTTAAATCAAAGATAATACACGGTTTTCCCGTGTAACATAAATGCAATTATGTGCTACTGTGTTCCTAGACACCAACAAGAAAATCCGCCCTCAAAAACCCATCACCAGATCCCCTGCATGTGTCACATTACACAAAGTACCCTCGGTAGTCCAACGTGTCAAGAAAGATGCGACACCCCCCCCCCCCTGTCAACTGAACGTACTGAAATTCCAGCCAGGTAGAAACCAGGGCCTTGAAGATGCGACAATGGCTGTATAATCCGCACAGGGAAGAAACCCCTTGCAGAAATGTGTACGTGGTCACAGTCCCATGGGCAATGCTCCAGCTCGGACCACCGTGGCGCTTGTACGATGGATTGGAGTAAAACAGCTCCCAATGAGGCCTCCTCCGCTCCCCCACTCCGCACACCGCTGGCCGACGGTGTGCCGAAGCTCCTCCAGCCACGTGGCTGATGGCGCGGATCCCCTCCGGCCACCCAACGTGGTCCAGCTTCTTCACTCCAGCAACTGACCCGGAGCCCTTCCGGGCCCCCACCTGTATCCCCTTTACCACGTGATCCTGTCTCCTCCCCTTCCGGACCGTCAGATCCGGCCTTCCCATAGCGCCCTGTTGGCTCCGCCCCCATTCACCTCGCTTCCGATTGGACCCGAGGTGAACGGCGGGCCCTCCCATACGCCCCCCATACTGGGCTCCGCCCCCCAATACCCCGGGCCGTATGATTGGGCCAGAGCCCAGCAGCGAACCCCGTTTACGCTCGCATTACAGTAGTATAAGGTGATGATTGGACAGTGGTGCTGCCTGAATACTGGATGAAACTGCACTATTTTCAAGGTCTTTTGAGATGTAAAAACGGTCAATCCTTGACTGCGACAGTGTCCTGTCAGCTCGGGTTCTTGTAAAGGTGAAACCTTGCTGCTTTGGATGTTGCGTCCGCCACATGTCTATGAGACTGTACGTGCGGAGCACCTGCCGCAAAGTGTTCAGGACACTGCTTTTGCACTGCTCGGTGCCAGTGCGGTCGAGGACATTCAGCCTACAGTTAAAATCCCCCAAAAGCAGATACTCGTCATTTGGGATGTTTTTGAGATAGTTCTGTAACACATTGGAAAAATTCCGCATCATTGATGGGTGTATAGATATTTATGAGGTGGACAGAAATGTCATTAAGTTTGATTGCTACGTTGAGGGCTCTTCCCGGTACTACCTCAACTTGGTTAACTACGGTGGGTGTAAACCCTGGTGCAAATAACGTTGCCACTCCTGAAGAATAATGAGTAATGTGACTGGAAAACAAATCTCCTTTCCAGTCTGTTTCTCATAAATTTTCTTCGCTGGTTGTAAGATGCGTCTCCTGCACAAAGAGCACTGAGGCTTTGTGCTTTTTTTGCGAGCGACAGCACAAAGTGTCTCTTGACCGCACCTCTACACCCATTCATATTAATTGTGGCTATCTGCAGCATTATGTATCAGTGGAGATGTTGCCAGGTGTGTTTTCTTTCCACGTAGTTATTGGCTCAAGAAGTACCTGATCCCTTTCCTTTCCAAATGACGACGTTCCGTGTCTCTTGAAGTCCTGCTCAATATTGAGTAGGGAGGTTATAATTGCCTGCACATTTTGCCACCTTGACAGAGCTGCAGTCACTCTTCTGAGCCATGCACTCCCTCTAAAATATTCCATAGCTCCGACTGTGAGAATATTGGTGCCACTTCAGTCAGCTCAGCAGATGTCAGATAATACACCAAGACAAATCCTGAGCAAGTACGTCTCTGAGAAAGTACGTCTCTACCGGGAGATGAACACCAGTTTGTTTACTACACTGGGCGATTTCTTCTCCATCGGCGTTGGCGGATAGGATGGTATTTTCATCTCCTTGGTCTTTCACACCTGCAGCTGTGCTCATTCAGCTCTTAGCCCTGATGTTTGCAATGTGCCACTGACAGGATACACAAGCACCTGCAGGTGTCAGGGTCTGGCCTTTCCGCGCATGGTTTGCACAAGCCGGGAGATTTTTGTCGTTCTCGTGATCTCCGCTCACATTTGGTGCGCTGCTGAAAAGACATTTCTCCATAACCTGTATTGTGGCGTAGTTTGAATTCATAAACCCGTAGAGTGATGTTGGCGGTCTCTGTGGGGAGACATTCGTGGTTCTCGTCATTACAGCATCCAGAGCAGCGTAAGAGCGGCACGCACTACGGCGGTCTCTGTGGGGAGACATTCGTGGTTCTCGTCGTTGCAGCATCCAGAGCAGCGTAAGAGCGGCACGCACGACGGCGGTCTCTGTGGGGAGACATTCGTGGTTCTCATCGTTACACCATCCAGAGCAGCGTAAGAGCGGCACGCACTACGGCGGTCTCTGTGGGGAGACATTCGTGGTTCTCGTCATTGCAGCATCCAGAGCAGCGTAAGAGCGACACGCACTACGGCGGTCTCTGTGGGGAGACATTCGTGGTTCTCGTCGTTACACCATCCAGAGCAGCGTAAGAGCGGCACGCACTACGGCGGTCTCTGTGGGGAGACATTCGTGGTTCTCGTCATTACACCATCCAGAGCAGCGTAAGAGCGACACGCACGACGGCGGTCTCTGTGGGGAGACATTCGTGGTTCTCGTCGTTACACCATCCAGAGCAGCGTAAGAGCGGCACGCACGACGGCCGGAAGAAGTGCTCCACCTCATCTGGATACTCGTGCAGGATGTCGATCACCGTTTCCATCGGCTGGCAGTAACTCCGCCTCATCACCTCGTTAAACTTAATCACTCCATTCTTCAGATGACTTTGTCCAGACGAAACACTCGTGGGCTGGCCCGGTGCCGTTGTGCTGGTCCCACACGTCCAGAGCCAGCACCCTCAATGAGCCACTTGTAGCCACAACACAGACGAGGTCACAGCACTCCTTCCTCTCTCTCATTTCTCTCTCTCACCCCTCTCCTCCCTCCGTCTACTCCCTCCCCCCTCCCTCCCCACCCTCCCTCCCCTCCCTCCTGTTTTTTACTATCAGAAGAAGCAGAAAGATGCTCGGTTTTTCGGCACTTTGCTTTGTTCATCATGTTGTTTTTTGCTTTCATTCCCCCTTTTTTAAATCAAAGATAATACACGGTTTTTCCGTGTAACATAAATGCAATTGTGTGCTACTGTGTTCCTAGACACCAACAAGAAAATCCGCCCTCAAAAACCCATCACCAGATCCCCTGCATGTGTCACATTACACAAAGCACCCTCGGTAGTACAACGTGTCAAGAAAGATGCGACACCCCCCCCCCCCCCCCCCCCTGTCAACTGAACGTACCGAAATTCCAGCCAGGCAGAAACCAGGGCCTTGAAGATGCGACAATGGCTGTATAATCCGCACAGGGAAGAAACCCCTTGCAGAAATGTGTACGTGGTCACAGTCCCATGGGCAATGCTCCAGCTCGGACCACCGTAGCGCTTGTACGATGGATTGGAGTAAAACAGCTCCCAATGAGGCCTCCTCCGCTCCCCCACTCCGCACGCTGCTGGCCGACGGTGTGCCGAAGCTCCTCCAGCCACGTGGCTGATGGCGCGGATCTCCTCCGGCCACCCAACGTGGTTCAGCTTCTTCACTCCAACAAGTGACCCGGAGCCCTTCCGGGCCCCCACCTATATCCCCTTCACCACGTGATCCTGTCTCCTCCCCTTCCGGACCGTCAGATCTGGCCTTCCCATAGCGCCCTGCTGGCTCCACCCCCGTTCACCGCGCTTCCGATTGGACCCGAGGTGAACGGCGGGCCCTCCGCCCCCCAATACCCCAGGCCGTATGATTGGGCCAGAGCCCAGCAGTGAACCCCGTTTACGCTCGCATTACAGTAGTATAAGGTAATGATTGGACAGTGGTGCTGTCTGAATACTGGATGAAACTGCACTATTTTCAAGGTCTTTTGAGATGTAAAAACGGTCAATCCTTCACTGCGACAGTGTCCTGTCAGCTCGGGTTCTTGTAAAGGTGAAACCTTGCTGCTTTGGATGTTGCGTCCGCCACACGTCTACGAGACTGTACGTGCGGAGCACCTGCCGCAAGGTGTTCAGGACACTGCTTTTGCACTGCTCGGTGCCAGTGCGGTCGGACATTCAGCCTACAGTTGAAATCCCCCAAAAGCAGACACTCGTCATTTGGGATGTTTTTGAGATAGTTCTGTAACGCATTGGAAAAATCCCGCATCATTGATGGGTGTATAGATGTTTATGAGGTGGACAGAAATGTCATTAAGTTTGATTGCTACATTGAGGGCTCTTCCCGGTACTACCTCAACTTGGTTAACTACGGTGGGTGTAAACCCTGGTGCAAATAACGTTGCCACTCCTGAAGAATAATGAGTAATGTGACTGAAAAACAAATCTCCTTTCCATTCTGTTTCTCATTCATTTTCTTCGCTGGTTGTAAGATGCGTCTCCTGCACAAAGAGCACCGAGGCTTTGTGTTTTTTTTTGTGAGCGACAGCACAAAGTGTCTCTTGACCGCACCTCTACACCCATTAATATTAATTGTGGCTATCTGCAGCATTATGTGTCAGTGGAGATGTTGCCAGGTGTGTTTTCTTTCCACGTAGTTATTCGGCTCAGGAAGTACCTGATCCCTTTCCTTTCCAAATGACGACTTTCCGTGTCTCTTGAAGTCCTGCTCCATATTGAGTAGGGAGGCTATAATTGCCTCCACATT